TATTTAAAAGGTAAGAGCTGAAAATGAAGTCTTGGGTTTTAAGCTAATGAGCATTAAACATAGACTATTTGAATGAATTAGATTTGCATGTATTATATAACCAACATATTTTGTGTGTGTGTGTGTGTATGTGTGTTGATGTTTTATTGAATTTTGGTACCTTAATTTTGATTTCTGTTTTACTGTATTGTAAATGTTGCTTTATGTTACCATAACATTTGATGTCAAAGGTTGTATTGAGGGTTTACATTATTTAAAACTGCTTTGTAATACAAATTTAAAATGTTCTATTTGGCTTAATGTTTCAGGTTTCAAAAGCTAAATACTTAATGAAATATTTGTATGTGTTATATAAACAAAAATGATCATTTTCTCAAGCTTATGCTTTGTATGTCTTCCACACTCAAGTTCACTGTTTATTTCTTCAGACAATATTAGTCTGAAACCTGAAAAAAAATAAAGTGTGAACACTACTGAAGTACAGGAAACCTCCAAAATTCACAGGGATTACATTCATAGAGCACCTGCGAATTGTGAAAAACTGCAAAAAATTCCCATTTTTTATAGTTCAACCCCTAAATGTGTATTTGGGTGGCATCTTTGGGCTTTAATAGGGAAAAAGAACACAAAAGCATTCAGTGCAACACTTAAAATGCGGAACTGCATCTGCCAGAGATGCAACAACATGTTGTTGCAGCTGAAAAGACATATCAGAATCAGAGAAACTTCATTAATCCCAGAGGGAAATTGAGCATGTGAAAATGATCCAGAAATACCACCTTCTCTGGGCAGGTTAGACATTTCCTGAATATAAGAAGCTAATGAAGTGCGATAGTCTGACTTCAAACATGAATTAACTTGATGCTATGTGAAGAAAGTTTCTGTAACTACTCAGTTACTCACTTACATGCATGCACATGAGCACACACACAGACCTTGCACAGTTTAAGAGTTTGTTGGATTTTCTAATCTTTATATTTTGACATACCTGTTAACAGTTGAGATGATTTTTAAGTTCTACTGAATCTTTATAGTTAAGAGCAATTTGAAAGGTAAAAAGAATAATACATTTAATATTCATCCGTTTTTCCTCATCTTATTTGGCATAAATCAATTGTTTGTTTGTTTTAATGTGAAACTGAGGAACATTTAAATGATCACCTTAAGGCAGAATAAAGAAGAAGAGCACCCTCTTGTGGCGGAACTGAAACATTCCACTGTAAATGACGCTGTCAAACTCGTGACTGATGTCATTAATCTAATCATGTTCCTGCCTGCCTTCTCCGAGCCAACCAGGCTCTACTTTGCTTGCTTTAGTTCTTAATGTTCTTCTGTCTTTCATTCTCCAATTCGTGCAATAAGCCTCCTCCCCATCTCTGTCTTATCCTGGACCCGTCCAAGCTGCAATCTTCATCTTCACTCCCATGTAGAGTCTGGGGATCCTGTCCTAAATCATGTCACCACTGGAATTATTTCTGCTTTGATGGGTCGTTGGAGTCAAATTACCAAATAGCTTCAGTATCTGAAAAAAATGTTAAGTGTTAAGTTTTTCTATTGAAGTATTACTGTGGATATTGCTGGATTGTCTAATTAAACGTAGGAAAAAAAAGAATCACTATATTTTAAGATAATTTTTAATCAGATTTTTCAGGTAGCTGTCACACCACCTTTGATGGCACGTCTCATTCTAACCTGTTAGAATAAATGAATTCTCGTTTTGCAGTGTAGTCAGGGTTACACAAAAAAGTCTTCTAACAATTAATGAAAGGAAAAAAATCCAACACAGATCTGTCAGTGAAAGCTTGTCTAATACTATCATGATAAATCTGTATTTTCTACTTTTTGTAGCTGAGGCCTTTTAATTATTATTTGTGAACCTGCCACATTAAATATTCATAAATATTTGTGTGTGTGTGTTTTAGCTCATCTCAGGAAATACCGCTCTAAATAGAAGAGCGGAACCACCACCCACCCACCCACTTGACTTGCAAATTCAATATTATGGACCTCCAGCCATCCTTTAAACGTCTTGGAGTTCAAGTTAGTGTTTTCATTTTTTGTTTTGTTGTTGTTGTTGTTGTATTTTACAGGGAAGTTAGAGCTGGTGTTGGCGTGTCATGTGTAAGCGAATGAGAAGTAAAAGTGTAGCAATCTTTAACACACCCACCCATAGCACACACCCAAGCCCAGGTCCAAAGTCTGAAGTTGACAATTCAGTTCTCATTCAGTGTGACTGTTTTCACAAGTCTGATCTTAAAGAGTCGCTTGTGTCTGAGGAGAGAATGATTACTTTCGAAACATTTAACTGGTTTTATTAATAACTGTGTACTGATGATGTATCATCGTCTTCTCGTGATTGCCGGTCTGTTGTCAGCTTATATAGGTAAGAAAGAGAGCCGGGTTGCTTTAAATTAACGTTGCGCATGTCAAAGTTAAATTACAGTTATTCAAATGGAAACGTGACTTGAGAAACAAATTAAGCATTTCGCTGAAAGACAAAATTAATAGAACAGTTGACGGCAAAATGCTTTTTTTCTGCTGTTGGCAGAATAAGAATCACAGGAGCCAATAGATAAAACAACAAGCATGCGTTTGGATTTCTTTAAATGTCCTTATTTCTTTTTCTTCTTTTAACCGGAAAAGCCGGTTAAAGCTGGTATAGCACATCACAAGGATGTTTCAGTGTATGTACTGAGGAGATGCAAGCAGTACTGCTACTGTTTATCTTCCACTGCTATGGGAAAGTGTTTATATAAACTGCTTCACCTGATGCCGCTACCTTTTGTAAGTCAATTAGCTGGAAAATGATGTCCGATCATAATTCATCTGCATGCATGAACTGAGTGAAATGTAAAATTATAACTGTGTATAAGTTTAAAGTTCCTGAAATTACTTTTCTTTCTCATTTTTAAACAGTTTAAACATCAGCAGGTTGTCTAATGCAATAATTTGTCGCCATGTGATTCGTGTGAATAGATATTTGCATTAACATGCAGTTGAACAGGTGTACCTAAAAATTGGCTGGTGAGTGTGTACTTGTGTTATTGACATGACATGTTTATCTTAATTGAATGTCACAGTTTTCTGAGTCCTAACAAAGTGAACATATGTTTGTGTGGGACAGTGTGGGACATCTTCATATAAAAACTATACATCTTACAGGTTTGGGGTCATCCCCAGCTTACCTCATGAACTATACCTTTCCTTTTCTGTCAAGAAGTGGAACAGTGTTGTTCACTGATGTGCACACCTAGTTCAACCTGTGTTTTTTTTTTTTATTGGTGAACAATATCTTAATCATCCTAAACCAATCAGGAACACTGTGCAAACTTCACCACATGGACTCGTCCCAATAGTTGTACCATTAACCAAATACTATGCATTTCGTGTGAACCCCAACAGAAAAGTCAGTGCATATCACATGTTTATGAGGAAATCGATGAGAAATGCATTCGAGTGACTAAGCCTCCAATGTACTTGCATCACAGAAAACTACAGCTGCAATTTATGCAGCTGAGAAGATCATTAGAAATGCAGCTGATTGTAGCGTTTAAAGTGCTATGAAAAAAAAAAACAGCCTTGCCAGTCTTGGTGCTTTTTGTCGGTTGGGCTGTCATTAGGGTGGTAATTTTCAAATATTACCTAAATTAACTTCAATTTCAGGAGCCTTGAGGAGTCAAAAAGAATTTTTAAAATTTTTAAAAGGTTTTTTTCTCCTGTTGAAGTCAAAGGTTTACCTCTATCTTTGTTGTGACAGATTTATGCCCTTACAGATTTAACATGGGGATAAAAACATATAGGTTATACTTCATTTTCTCTGTAATGTAATTGTAATCCTACTGGTCAATACACAGAGTATTGACCAGTATTTTAAAAAGACTGGTAAATTGCAGAGTTTGCCTTGTAGCTCTCGGCTCTCTTCACCTATAACACATAGAATAATGTAAAGGAGGCAATCCAGATGGAGTTTGCACACAGCTTTATTAGTATAAATATGGTTGATTATTCCTCTTGTGGGGTTTTTTCTAGGTGGATCCCGTGCTCATGGTCAGCCACTGCACGTTCTTGCCTTTGCTGGTGGAGATGTTATTCTACCGTGCAGTTTTAATATCTCTGACAACACTGACTTTCCGACTGTTGAGTGGTCCAAGGAAGGCTTGAAGCCAGATGTTGTCTTCTTGTACCGGGATGGTTGTGAGGCCTACGAGATGAAGAATCCAGCCTTTGAGTACAGGACAAGCTTCATCGTGAAAGAGCTGAAAGATGGAAACATTTCATTACGGATCTCCAATGTGCAGGTGTCTGATGCTGGAAAGTACCAGTGCCTCATATTCCAGAAAAATGCCATCAGGAAGGTTACAAAAGTGGAGCTGCTTGTGGGTATGTCTACTAATGTTCATTTCCACATTGGTAATTCGGCTGTGAACTGTGTAGTCCACCAGCCTGAGAGTTGAATCCTTGCCCATTTATTATATGTATATTAGAGTCAGAGCTCTTAGCAGCATCTAGTTTAATTATGAAGTAAAGCTATGCACCAAGTCATATAATAGAGGATGTGTAAGGCTATAAAAGACCCTTTTTTATAACTTACCTGTACTACATTTTTAGTTGATGCTGGGTTAGGGTTTAGAAACCAAAACTGTTCAATTAGGCTTACAATAAGATAACCGACTTTGGTTTTCCATGGTGACATAATGTAGATATTACAATCCTTTTTTTATTTTATATAACATTTTGCTTGCCATGAGTTTGGAGAGCTGT